CCCCAGGATTTTTGGGGGGGGTCTCTCAGCTGTCCCCCCCCCCAGCGCGGCCAGGGCACCCCGGAAGTGACGGGATGGTTTGAGGTGACCGTGGGGGGACACCTGGTGCACTCCAAAAAGGTGGGTGCCCCTCCCCACCCCCATTTCGGGGTGTCCCCCCTCCCCATTTTGGGGTGTCCCCCCTCCCCATTTCGGGGTGTCCCCCCTCCCCACCCCCATTTCGGGGTGTCCCCCCTCCCCATTTCGGGGTGTCCCCCCTCCCCACCCCAATTTCGGGGTGTCCCTGTGCCCATTTCGGCGCGCCCCCTCCCCAGTTTCGGCGTGCCCCCATCCCCATTTTCGGGGTTCCCTCTCCCCAATTTCGGGATGTCCCCTCCCCATTTTAGGGTGTCCCTGTGCCCATTTTCGGGTTGCCCCCTCCCCAATTTCAGGGTGTCCCCCTCCCCAATTTCGGGATGTCCCCTCCCCATTTCAGGGTGTCCCATCCCCATTTCGGGGTTCCCCCTCCCCATTACCGGGGTTCCCCCTCCCCATTTCAGGGTGTCCCCCATCCCCAATTTCGGGATGCCCCCCTCCCCAATTTGGGGTGCCCCTGTCCCCATTTCGGGGTTCCCCCTCCCCAATTTCGGGATGTCCCCTCCCCATTTTAGGGTGTCCCATCCCCATTTCGGGGTTCCCCCTCCCCATTACCAGGGTGCCCCCTCCCCAATTTCAGGGTGTCCCCCATCCCCAATTTCGGGGTGCCCCCCTCCCCATTTCGGGGTGCCCCTGTCCCCATTTCGGGGTGCCCCCTCCCAATTTCAGGGTGCCCCCTCCCCAATTTGGGGTTCCCCCAGGCCGGCGATGGCTTCGTGGACACCGAGCCGAAGCTGCTCCGCATCGTGGCCGCCATCGAGTCCCGCCTGGCCTAGGCCGCGCTAGGGCGCCCCGGGATATCGCGATAGGCCATCGATATATCGCGATATGCCATCGATATATCGCGATATCCCATCGATATATCGTGATATCCCATCGATAGCGCTTGATATATCGCGATATGCCATTGATATATCACGATATGCCATCGATATATCGCGATATGCCATCGATATATCGCGATAGGCCATCGATATATCGCGATATGCCATTGATATATCACGATATGCCATCGATATATCGCGATATGCCATCGATAGCGCTTGATATATCACGATAGGCCATCGATATATCGCGATATGCCATTGATATATCACGATATCCCATCGATATATCGCGATATGCCATCGATAGCGCTTGATATATCACGATAGGCCATCGATATATCGCGATATGCCATCAATATATCGCGATATGCCATCGATAGCACTTGATATATCGTGATATGCCATCGATATATCACGATAGGCCATCGATATATCGCGATATGCCATCAATATATCGCGATAGGCCATCGATAGCGCTTGATATATCGCGATAGGCCATCGATATATCGTGATAGGCCATCGATATATCACGATAGGCCATCGATATATCGCGATATGCCATCGATAGCACTCGATATATCGCGATATGCCATCGATATATCGTGATAGGCCATCGATATATCGCGATATCCCATCGATATATCGCGATATCCCATCGATATATCACGATAGGCCATTGATAGCGCTCGATATATCACGATATCCCATCGATATATCGCGATATCCCATCGATAGCGCTCGATATATCGCGATATCCTATTGATACCAACCAATATATCACGATAGCGCTCGACACCACACGATATATCGCAATATAGCGGGCGGTATAGATGGATATCGTGATATATCGGGTGATATTGGCAGATATCGCGATATATTGGCAGATATTGGTAGGCAGCAATGGGTATTGCCACATATCAGGTGGTATTGATGGAATATTGCGATACACTGGGTGGTATTGATGGATATTGCGATATATTGGCAGGTATTGATGGATATTGGTAAACAGCAACGGGTATCACGATATATTGGGTGGTTTTGATGGATAT